TCACAAAATGCGCCTGAATTGAGAATGGGCCTCGCAGGGTGGTGGTGCCCAGTCAGCCCCTGAGCTTCCTCGGGCCCATGGAGGCTGGATGGGCACAGGTGCCAGCTGGCCACCAGAGCCTGCACACCACCTCGGAGGGCCGCTTGGTCCTCCCAGGAGCCAGCTGACCCGCTCAGAGTAATTGCCGGTCCCTGAAAATGTGACTTGGAGAATGAGCCCCAGGCCTCACTGTCTCCTACAGCTTGGGCTGAGGAGGCCTTGTGCCCAGACAGGAGCACAGGAAGAAAAGCCCACGCACCCCGGCTCTCCAAGACACCCAGGCTTCCGATCATCTGGCTACTTGTCCCTCGAACCCTCCAACAAAAGTCCTGCAATTCCCAACAACGTGACCACTCTGTCCAGTACCTGTGCCTGTGCAGACTGCCCGCTGGGGTTTTGAGCAGCAGCCACGAGGCGGTAGGACGGCCCCTTGGAGACACTGCACCCCTGCCCAGCCCTGTCCAGGTGGGGACACACTTGTCCTGGAGGCCCGGGAGGAGCCAGGGGCCTGAGCTCCCAGGACAAGGTGGGCACAGCCTCTGAAACATCCATTCCCTCCAACTCCCCGGGAAGAGAGATCACGTGGTTGGTTGGCCGTGGAGGTGTGTGTGGGCTCGGCAACGCGGTGGGGGGCAGCACTCCTCTGCACACCTCTGAGAGAGGACACCAGGTGCAGGGAGGCTTCGCACCGTGACAGCTGCTTTGTGACCTCTGCTCTCTGATCTGGGGGCAGAGCGTCTGTGTGTTCCGACCCACAGGCAGCTCATAGGACAGGGGCTGTGCCTCGAGCAGCTGCGGCTCTTGTGATGCCCCAGGCTGGGCACAGAGCTCAGGCCCCTGGCTCTTGGCTCCGTCCTCTCTCAGCACTCCCTGGCCTCTCTGCAGGTGACCTCGCAGGCACCGCCCAGGGATCCAGCCGCTTCCCGCAGGATGGGCTCTGCCCTGCAGCCCTCAACTCACAGAGTGGAGCTGGGCCTCTCTGGCCTAATTTGACCGGCTTCTGTCCCAACCCTGCCAGGGGGTCCAGCCAGACCCAGTGGGGGTCTAAGCTGAGGGTGGGGTCTGGTCGGGAGGCCTGGGGTCCCAGGCCAGCAGGACACCTCCCCCAGAAGCTCTGAAGACAGACTTGACTGCAGGAGGGAGGGCTGTCTGCGTGGAGACCAGGGAACTGAGCGAGCACTGGCCCCACAGGGAGAGCCGGGCCTCTCAGGGGCCCAAGATCCACTGTGACAGCACCCTCCAGTCGCCAGAGTCATCTGAGTCAGGGTGTGCCTCCAGGCACCTCTCAGGCAGGCCGGCTCGGTGTTCCCAAGCCTCTTCATGAGTGGAGCCTGCCCTGGGGCCCACGTCTCTGCTCCCAGCACTGGGAGTGGGCGTCACCAGCCCATGGAGACAGCCAGCAAGGAGACGGCCTCTGAGCTGGGTGAAGGTCTTGCCCCTGGTCACCTCTGTACTGAAAGGCAGAGCTGGAATTCACACCCGGTCCTCCTGACCATGAGGCAACAGAGCCGCTGGCTTCTAGGGGACACTGGCAGGAGGGCCAATGGGATTGTCACCAAGCATCCCCGCGTCACTCGATGTGCTCTTGCCAAGCCCAGTCCTTGACCCTGGGGGATGCCTCTGTTCAAGGCTGCTGCACATGCCCTTGGAGACCTGGTCTGCGCCAAAGGCACTCGGGGATTCATCCACTGCTGCCTCAGATGGAGGAGGCCAGCCCCTGTGACAGGCAGTCCCCTGCTCTAGCGGCAAATCCCAGGGGAGGGGCCACATCCTAGAGTGCACAGAGCAGTCCTTCTCTTTCTTTAGTAACTGCCTGGGGACGTAGCAGAAATCTGGGCAGAGTAGGCAGCTCAGTCCCACGACTTGGTGGCTTAAAACCATCATCAGTTTGTGGTTTGGTGGCCCAGTGAAGGGCTGGGCCCAGCTGGGCGGGTTTTTGTTGGCCTTGCTGGATTTGTGCCTTCCTCTATGGTCAGCTGGAGGTCAGTGGTTTCAGACTCATGTTTGGCAGTGGCTTGCAGGTGGGTGATGGTCAGGGGGCATTATTAGGGGTTCCTGGGGGTTCCTGAGCCATGTCTCTCACTATCGAGGTGCATTCACCAGCTGGCACGGTCTGGCTGCATTCAAGGTTGGTGAGAGCCGGTCCAATGGACAAGCACCTACAAAGCCTCCACTTGCTTCATGCTTGCTAACGTGCCATTAGCCAAAACCAGCCATGTGGCCAGCCCATGTGTGAGGGGTGGGTCCCCCCCATGGAGTCCCTCCACCATCAAGAATGTGGGCCCGTTGGTGCGTCTGTGGCAGGAGGTGCTCCTGTGACTCCCGGGTGTTTGTGGCCTGGCCCTCCTCCTCTCCCCACCAGTGCACAGTCCTGGCCACAATGGCCCCTGGGGAGGTGGTTTGATTTCTGGGGCCTCCTCTTCTGCAGTGGCTGAGCTCCCCGGGCAGGAACTACAGCATCTGTTTGTGCTTCCCTGCCCCTGGCGTAGGGTCTGCTGAATGCTTACTGGTTGTTCATTAAAGCATTGAGTTTGTTGAGATGGATTGGAAGTGAAAGTGGCTGCAGGTGAGCAAGGTGTTAATTAGACCCAGGATCTGGAACTCCAGATGGCAGAAGAGACCCGGCCTCCGAGAAGCCCTCTCTCAAGCCTGTGTCAGTGTGATTGGATCCCCTCCAGCTTTCTGGGGCACCTGCTGCCGCCCAGCAGAACTTACAGATCACAAGTGGGCCAGGCTCTGAGCCCGGCTTGGGGGGCAGACCTTCGGAGAAGCTATCGGGAGTGATTGAGTTTCTCCCCAGAACATGCCCACCTGCCGTATAAGTGGGGCTCAGCTGCAGAGAACAAGCCCCCCCACCCCTGCAGCTGGTTGCGGTGGAAAGGAAAGCCCGGGGTCATCAGGGGAAACGAGACAGGAGCTAAGCAAGTGCTGAGGAACGACTCTGAACACAGACTGGGCCAGCACAGGCACCGCTCCCTCTTTGCCAACCAGAAACTACCCACTCAGCTGGGAAGCTGGTGTGCCACCCCCGACCCCAGGGACCGCCACCACTGCCCCTGTCACAGTCAGCACAGCTGGATGCCACCTGGATTAGGACCCTGCTGAAGGAAAGCTAGGCACCACCTGGTGTGCTCACCTGCTGGTCTCCAGGCAACTGTGGCTGAGCTCTGCCCGTGTGCAGGTTCAGCGGGGCAAGCGTGCCCATCAGGCGGGAAGGCTGGGGTCGGGGGCCACATGTCTCTCTCCATCTCTCAAATAACATGAGCCCCCCAAAGATCCCTTCACACACTCTGGTCCCTCATGAACCCAAGCCAGCAATATCTGTTCTCAGATGGGCACCGATTTCTGCTCACTGACATCTTTATGTTTGCCTCCTCTCTGGGCCAGTGATCTCCCTCCCTGTTCGTGTCTTGGTCAGTACTTTGGTAGAAGTTTATGGCTTTCTTAATGTAAGTCTCGTGATTTCTTGTTTGATTCTCACATGAGATATTTTCTATCGTTTGTTCTTCTTTTCTCCCAATGCTATTTCCTAAGTGTTTTTAGATATAACAATGATGTTATTGTAGGTCATCGTGCATATGTCATTCTAGTTCCCAAGGGATTTAAAGAACTCAGTTCAAATGTATCTGTAATAAAAAAGGACTGTGTGTGACTCGTTATCTTATTCAACTGCTGGGCCGGCCTCAGGTGGTCCAACTTGCAGGGCTGCGCCCTCCACGGGGAACCATCTGTCCCTGCTGGGAGGGCGTGGCTGCTGTTTTGCTTGGTGCTGAGGATGGGGCCAGGACCTCCCACGTCCAGGCAGCCACACCCCAGCCTGGCTTGGTCTTCCTGACGCCTTCCTCTGCCTACAAGGAAGCTGGCTTAGTGACCCTGCACGGACGGGTTTCTGAAGGCTGCAGAACTTGAGAGGTGCACCGTCTCTGGCGGCACAGGGCTGGCACTTGCCCTCTGGGTCAGCCTGCTCGGTGTTCATGAAGTCCCCAGCTGTGTTAAGGGATGGCTGCTGCCCTCTATGCTAGTCAGCTTACTGAGCGTCAGGGTTGGTGGCTGTCCCCAAGCAGGGACTCCAAGACCCAGCCTCCTCTTTTCACCTTCCATCCTCAACCCACGGCCTCCAAGTCAGCTGAAGGTCGTCTGCTCTCCAGCCCACAGAGAGGGAGGGTGTTAGAGGAGGGCTGTGGGTGGGCAGTTGGGATGCACCCCACAAATCCTGGGCCCCGTTCCTCTCACCTGGTGTTCCCTGATTAGATCCCAGAACCTGGGTCCCCCTAACTGCCAGGGACAGGGACACACGGTCTCACTCTGTGCCCAGCAAGAGGCAGGAACAGATCTGATGGGCAGAGCCGCCCTGTGCCTCTCCTGCACTGCTCCCACCTTCTGGGTCCCTCCTGCTTGTCTGACCGGTTACCAAGAGATGCGTCTTAGAGACGCCCACTACAGGGCTAGGGTGGGGCTCAGAGGGTGGCCTGAGCCTGGCCTGCGCCAGGCCTGGGCCCATGCCCAGCACCGCGACCAGACCAAACCAAACCAACACGGCAGTGGCCTTCAATTTCTGGGGTGCTTCTTGTTAGTGTTTTGAGACCGTACTCTTTGGTACATATTTTTATTAAAGTTACATAGGTACAGCCTGAAGAGTCAAGTTGTTTCAGAAAAGAGGCAAAATTTTTCTGAAAAGAGCCAAAGAGGGCTGGGGATGTGGCTCAAGTGGTAGCGCGCTTGCCTGGCATGCGCGCGGCGCTGGGTTCCATCCTTAGCACCACATACAAAATAAAATAAAGATGTTGTGTCCACCAAAAAAAAAATAAAAAATTCTCTCTCTCTCTCTCTCTCAAAAAAAAAAAAAAAAAAAGAGCCAAAGAGAAGCCAAGCTGGACTCGGGGCTGGTGGCTACTGTCAGGCTGCTCAGTCCTGTGGCAAGGGCCCTCTGTGTGGTGACTGCAGGTCTGGGAGCCCCTTACCTGGGGTTTTGGACCCTCCTCCTCCGACACTCCCTTCCCGCCTGGCCTGCGGTCTCTGCTGGCTGGAGGGCACGCCACATGGGGTTGTGGTGGTCACTGCCAGGCTTGCCGTCCTGGCAAAGTCGAGAGTCGACTCCCACCTCTCCCGGGATGAGCACACGGGCGCCTTCAAGCCAGACTCCCCTCCACACCGTGAGCGCTTCCTCGAGCTTCCGAGCAGGGGTCTTGGCTGTTGAAGGCTGAGCTGTGAGCAAGGACCGGCAGGGACAACTTATGTCTCACGGGAGAGGCTACTGCCCCCATGAGGGTCTCCCGCGTGTCTGGCTGCACCCTTGAGAGCAGCGAGGCCCAGGACTGGGGGCTGGCGCGTCTCCTGGACCTCAGTCCGTCACCCAGAGCTGCTGTTGGCAATGCTGGCAAAGCCCGTCCGTCTCCCCAGCTCCGTTCTCGGCAAATGTCCTACGTCCTCTGCTGCCTTTGACCGCTCCTCTGCTGGGGTCACACTTCCGTGCTCACTCTCTCCTTCAGCTCTGCCTGTCTGGCCAGATGTGGGAGCAGTGAGTCCTGTTTTCACCTCCGATGCTCCTGTTGGGACGCGTCCTCTCCTGTGCCTCCCACTCGTCCCTCTCCGTCACTCTGGACCCTCCCTTGGTTTCCAGTGATCCAGAGTTTTGAGGATTCAAAGTCCCGAAGCCGAGTCCGCAGTCTCAGCCTGCTCTTTGCCCTAGGAGGTGACTCTGGGTGTCGTGTGACTGGGAGCCTTGGCTGCGGAGGCTGCTGGCCACAGGGAAAAGGGGCTCCTGGGGGGGTGTTCCTCTCCATTCTCCATTCTGTGGTGTGGCTAGGAAAGAGTGGCCAGCACTTTTGCTGCTCGAGGGCCATTAGCCCCTCATATGAGGTCCACTTGAGCGATGGGGGCCATGGGAGCCACTTGGAATTCCCAGGAGAGAAGGTCCCACTGCACCCAGGCCAGGGGCAGGACTGTGCCCTGGACTCCTTTCACTGACAGCCTGAGGACTCTGGCATTGAGCAGGGTCTCTCTCCATCTCTCCTCCTGCAGCCTCAGAGCTGCCCCTGAAAGGTGCCTTCTACCCTCCACCCAAAGAGGGGGAGGGAGGGGGAGGGAGGGGGAAGGAAGAGAGAGGGAAGGGGAGGGGGGAGGGGGGAGGAGGGGGGGAGGGAAGGGGGGGGGGGAGGGAGGGGAGGGAAGTGGGGGAGGAAGGGCTCATCATGACAGTGTGTGTTTTCCATTCTGGGTTTTAACCCTATTGTTTATTCTGACCCCATTTTATTGTGAATTCTGCTAAGAACTTGCAGGATAATATTTGTGTTTTTTCCAATTTCCGTGGATGTTTTAATAGGTGGGATTCCAGTGTCTAGTCTGGAATGTTTCTGGAATCCGAAGTCAGCCCCTGTGTGTGCGGCTCTGCCACAGGACTCTGATCTTTGCAGTTCAGATTTTCCTGGAACAGAGTGAGGGGATCACCAGTCCAAAAGGTTGTTTAATTTTTAATTTTCTTGGAAATCTTTTGCTTTCCCTTTGACCTCAAGATTGCCCTCTGTCTCCCATTTGTTTATTAGTGGCTTGCCAGGCACGGGAGCAGAGACGGGCACGGGCTGCCGCATGGTCCTGGGCACCAGGTCACTGCAGGCCGAGCACCCTCCTGCGGTCCCCATTGTCTCCATCCCCCATTCCCTCTCCCTTCCCTGAAGTGCTCACTTGCTGCTTTACACACACCCTGGAAGCCTGTGTTCCTCATAAAATACACGCCAGTGCTTTTAATTTGCATAACTGGTGCCATGCCATCGAGTCCTGCTGCTTTTAACTGAAAACCCCAACACAGACTTTGGGTGTCAGCTTATCTGTGTGCGCACACGTCATGGTTTTAACAGTTGCATGGAATGGGAGGGTTGGTCTCTGCCAAGCTGTGCTCACCAACCCCCCCGGCCCCACCAAGGATGCTCAAGAGCTCCATCCCCAGGTGAAAGACTGCAGGGCGGATGGCTGGAGTGGCCTCTGGGGACGGGTAAGGATGGCCCTGGGGCTGAGACCAGGACTGCCCCTGAGCTCTCCAGAGCTTTCCAGCCAGCCCTGCCAAAGTGGGTCCTGCCTCCTACAGCTTCTCTGCAAGTCCGGGCCTGCACGCTCCGTCTGCCTGCCTAACATGTGTCAAACACCAGCCCACTGCCGTCTTGTCTGCATCTCACCTTGTGGAACCCACCGTTCTGCCACATCTGAAGAAACCCACAGGAGGTCTGAGCCTCGATTCACGTCCCTTTGCCTCCAGGGATCGTCTCCTGTGGGTCGCGATTGGTGCTGTCCGCCCGGTGTCCAGAGGCTGTCCAAGCTGCCTGGCCGATTTCTTCCCTTCATTCACCCAGCCATTTGCTCAACTTGCTAAGCCTCCCGGTGACACAAAGTCCCTGCCCTCGGGACCTGCCATTCCAGCAGGGGACAGACAATTCCCAGAGGCAAATGTGCATTATGTTGAGGTGAAAAGCTATGAAGGCCAAGCAGAGCAGGTCACAAATAGGGGGCCACGTGGGACAGGCTCAGAGCCAGGGACGACACCTCCAAGAAAGAGACTTTCCCGAGGACCGCAGGGAGTGAGCGGCAGAGGAGCTGGGCCCCGTGTGCAGGAGGCCCAGCATGGGCAAGGCTGGAGGCCGAGGGAGGCTACATGCTCCTGGAGCAGCACAAAGAACAGTGGCCAGAGAGGGTGGCGGGGAGGTGGGGTGACATCCATGTCTGACCACCTCCCATGTCTGACCACCTCCCCTGCGTCCAGCAGAGACTCCAAGGAAAGGCTCCCCTGCTCTTCCTGGGTGAGAGGCTGCTGCGGGGCTCTTTGGTAAAATGCACACGAACCTCAGCATCTTGACTGTTGGGGTGCACAGTGACATTGAATATGGGTGTGCAGTCGTCACCATGGTCCACCTACGAAACTTCCTCACCTCCCCCCTGAACTGAGGTCCTGTCCCATTAAACACGACCCCACCCTCCTGCTCTCTGTGTCGATGGGACGGAAGCCTCCGGGGCCTCCTCCGAGTGGAATCCTGGGTCCCTGTCCTGTGTGTGGCTATGTCCTCGAGGTCCTTCCAGGTTGTGCGGGTGCCAGGCTTCCTTCCCCTCTTCCTTATGACGACGATTATTACTTCAGTGCTGGGGATGGAACCCAGGGATGCCCTCCTGAGCTGCACCTCCCACTCTTTTTATTTTTTCTTTTGAGACAGGGACTCTAAGTTGCTGAGACTGGCCTTGAACTGGCATCCCCTGCCTCAGCCTCCCAAGTAGCTGGGATCACAGGCGTGTGCCACCCCACCCGCCTACTTTCTTCTAAAGGCTGAATAACACTCCGCTGTCTGGATGGACGGCCCCTGATTCATTCAGCCCATCAGCAGACACGTGGCCTCCGCCTCTGGCCATTGCAAACAGCTGCTGTGAGGGCAACATGCCGACGTCCTTCCGTGCCCCGATTTCTCTTGTTCCAGGTACACACCTCCACGTGGACCTGCTAGGTCACACAGTATTCCATGGTACTGTCCCCCAGCCTCTACACAGCCCCAGGGTGATGTCCCTTATCTCCACGGGGCAGGGGCTGCCCTGGGTGAGACGGGCCTGCTGGGGTCCTCGGGGCCTTCAGCCCAGGAGACATGCCATCCCACTTGTGCCTTCGAGACCACTCCTGCTACGTGGTGAAAGCCGGGACCTGTTCCCAGGCTGCTGTGAGACCAGGCAGAGGCCAGGGTGCCGCTGTGGGGACAGCAGTGCTGGGTGATGGGCGCCGGGTCCTGGGGAAAGTCTGAGATCCCCCGAGCAGGCTGTGCCCCCAGCACTCAGTTGCCGTTACAAGGAAGAACAGAAGGTTGTTCCTGGGAGCCAAGTGTGGAGCCAGAGAGCCATGTGTGACCACCTCCCCAAGGTCGGGCGTCCCCGGGGAAGCGACAGGTGAATAGGAGTGGGCAGTGACTGGAGGCAGTCAGCGTTCTGCACAGGAGTAATCCATCTTCCTGTGTTCAGACAGCGGTGGAGGCCGTGTGACCAGAGGGGGAGTTCTAGCCCCCCAAGGCCAGGTCCCCGTGGGACACCTGTGCAGACCTTAGTGAAGAGTCAGTGGTTGCAACAGAAACGACCTTTAGGTCCCTGGAAAGTAACCTCCACACAGTTACCATGGTCACGGGGTCAGAGGTCGTCTGCAGCAAAAGGCCCTCGAACCAGTGGCTTGTGCAGCCGACCAGAAGCTCACGGCCAAAGCAGGGGGATCTAGAGGTCTGAGCAGGTTTCCCTGGGCTCCCGGTGGACGCAGTCAGGTGGGCCATTCTGTCATTGGGCCAAGCAGCGGGACTCCAGGTCACCGAGCATCCCAGCTGAGCAGCAGCCTGTGTGGACGCAGCTTTGGGCCTTGGCGGCTCCTCCTCCGAGGTGTGTGGTTCCTTTCTCTCCGTGTCCCTCTGCTCCTGCCCGGCTTTCTTACCAGATTTACTTACAGATTCAAGCTCCCCGTTCCACCTAAATGACCTTGATCCAAGCCAGGAGAGCTGGTGCACACCTGTGATCCCAGCAGCTCGGGAGGCCGAGGCAGGAGGATCGCGAGTTCAAAGCCAGCCTCAGCAACTTAGTGAGGCGCTAAGCAACTCAGTGAGACCCTGTCTCTAAATAAAATACAAAATAGGGCTGGGGGTGTGACTCAGTGGTCAGATGCCCCTGAGTTCAATCCCTGCACCCAATAAATAAATAAATACCCTGGACCCAGCAGCTTCCTGCTCAGCCCCAGTCCACTTACCCTGAAATCAGTTCCGAGACACTGCTCACCGCAATACTGCAGGACCCGATTCCTCTAGGACCGACGCCCCTCCCGCTGCGCCCTGGGCACTGGCGCTTTCACGCCACCAGAGCTCCTGTGCTGTCCCTGTGTGGGCCGGGCCTGGCAGGGGCACCTCTTGTGCTGGTGGGGGCCCCGGGAGCTGAGCTGGGTATCCTTCTGTCTGGAGTGCGCCACTGGGAGTGTAGGTGTGGCCAGTGGCTGAGTGCCCCTAAGTCCCCTGTTGGAAATGCAGCCTCGCATGGCATGTGGAGAGGGGCCCTTGGAGGGGGACAGGGTCGAGTGAGGTCCTGGGGTGGGACCTCGTGATGGCATTAATGACTCTACAAGAGGACGGGGCCCTGTCTCTCCCTGTGATCCCTCTGCCGTGTGGTGATGCAGCTCGAGCCCTCGCCAGACCCCAGTACCACACTCCGGGACGCCCGGCCTCCAGAACGGAGCCAGATAAACCTCCATTATTTCTAAATGGACCAAGACACCCGCGGAGGGCCAGGATACGCTGCAGAGGCCATGCTCTGCCCGTACACCCCCGGGGTGGGCAGTGCCGGAGGAGCCCTGACCACCCCAAGGCACAGCCACAGGCTTGAGGGCCACCTGTTTATGGTGCTGAGGTTGGGGGCATGTGCTGCTGTCCCGGCTGGGAGGCAGGGAGGGGATCAGGAAGAGACACGCTGTCCCTTGGTGACCTGTTTACTGGCAGCCAGGGGAGGAAGGACCTTGTGTGTGAGCGGGCTCTGCACTCTGGCCCACTTTGGCCTGGACTTGGGTGGACGACACAGGTGAGGGGCCCCTTATAGTTACGTATCAGATGCTTCTTCTGCGGACGACAGAGGATCCCATGTCTTCGTACTCTTTGTTGGTCACCCACATGTCCTCGAACGTGGACAGCGAGCACAGGATGGAGCCACCTACCCAGGCCCCGTACTTGGCACATGGAGAGGTGTACACCTGGAAGGTAGGGCAGCAGGGGGGGAGGGGAGGAGAACAAGCCTAGTCAGCTACAGCTCTACAGGGACAGCGACGTCCACAGGTCAGGCTCCAGGGTCGAGCCCCCTGGAAGGTAAGCTTTTCTGTGGGCTGGTGCCCTTGAGTGGCCGGAACCTCCCTCCAGCACCGCAGCCCTCAGGCCACGGGGCGACACAGGGCACCCTAGGGAGAAACAAGCAGGCGCTGGCAGGCAGACCCAGCCCACCCTCACCAGCAGCCGAGAGGTCCCTCCCATGGTGGGCAGACCTTCCCCAGCGGCTCTGGCCTCTTCTCCTGCTTCCCCTGAACTGCACAAAGTGCTCCTCCGTGGCGCCTGCTCTAGGAGAGCACAGGTTCCTCACACTGGGGACCCTCCTCACCCACTTGTCAGGTGGGGCCACTGCAGCTCAGGAAGGTCAGAGTCACTGTCGAGGTCAGGCTTCTCATCCTCCGGTCTCAGACTTTCAGTAAGGTGCACAGGCATAGCGTGCCACATGACGGTCATTCTGAGATATCGGAGGGCCGAGTCCCAGCCTCGGGGCTGTGTACGGGAAAGCTGGGGGGGGGATTCAGGTGTGGTGGGGGGAGACAAGTTGTGCTCTCGGCCCCATCCTGACACCTGCTGGCTCTGTCACCCACAGAACTGTGCTCGGCTTGGACCCCGTGGCTGGTTTCAGTTAAGAGATGTATCACCGTGATTTTAAGAGGGAGGGAGAGGGAGAGTCGGGGGAGAAGGGGCCGTGTGTTCCAGGTCAGCCCTTCAGGTGGGGAGCACGGCCCATGCCAGGCGCCCGGAGCCTCTGCTGAGTCACCTACTCCATCTGACCTTATCCAAACACACTCAGGAGCAGACACACCTGGGTGCTGGGTGCACTAAGAAGAAAGCAAATACCCATAGAAAACGTGGCCACGGGTTGGAATAGGCAATTGTGGGAAGATGTTTTAAAAGAGAAGAGAAGGACAGGACTTTCCCCATCTCTCAGGCTGGCAAAGGGGTGTGAAACCAAGCCGCTGGGTGTGACACGGGCAGCCTGTCAACACGTCCACGAGGCCTTAGAGTTTGCCCATATTTCTGGCCCCCAAACCCCCATTTAGAAATGATTCTAAGAGAAAGAAAGAGTATCCCCAAATAATAATCATGGCAAAAAAGTTCAGCTAAGAACATTCAGGAGAGCTGGGAGAGGGACTCAGCCGCTCCTGGACGTGGGTGGGGCCCCCATCTCAGCAGGAAGGCCTTGGAGAGGGAGCCGCATGGAGCCCTGCCTGCAGAACATCCCAGCTCCACCTCCAGAGCCGGCCAGGGTGCGAGCCTTGCTGCCGCCATGGCGGGGCTGAGCAGGAACGTGGCCGCCCGGCAGCAGGAGTGAGGGCCCAGCCACCCACTGCTGCCTGGGAAAAGGTCAAAGTTCCTAATTCCAGTCGACCCACACGGATGGCTTTCACACCACCACAGAGTGGACACTCCCTGTGTGACCACGTCACGTCAGGGCTCGCCGGCTGTCGAGAAGCTGGCCCCACTGGAGCCGGCTCTTCTCCCAGGCTGGTGAGCGGGCGTGGGACGGGGGCTCGCTCTTCTTCAGGTGAGCACCTTCCTGTGGCTCCAGGCCATCTGCCTCCTACCCGTCCAGGCACGGGTCAAAGGAGAGAGACCAGGCAGACGAGAGACACGCCTCCCAGCTCCGTGGAGAGGGCTTGGGGTGGGCGATGGGGAGCACATGAGGATCTTCTGGGGAGGACGGAAGGGCTGGTGCAGCCCAGCCACACTCTGCTGCACAAAGATGGCCCCACAGATCCGCTTTGCAATTGCGGCCAAGACACTGATGGCACTCAGCCGACTGGTGTGCCCTCCGGGCTTTGGTAGCCTTCCTCTTTGATTTTGTGAAAGTTCGTCTTGGGCAAGGCTCTGGAGGGCAGGAAGGAGGGGTGACAGGAACGCGATTCTTGACAGAGTTGGGGACATGGAGTCGGGGGAGGGCATCGTCCACTAGGACGAAAAAGTCTGCAACTTCATGTCAGAGGGCCCAAGGGCTGCAGGCTCAGGAAGTTAGGTGGCAGGGAGCAGCTTCCTCTGTCACACGCAGCCTTCCACATCGCGAGGTGACGCAGGGAAGACTACAGGGGCAGCAGGCTCTGTCGGGCTCCCTGAAGAGCATTGTGGCGCCCCTTGTGGTGCTTCATAGGGCGCCTGGGTCTTAGGAAGAAGGCGAGGGACAGCACCTCAGTGTTCTGTGAATTTGGTGGCCTGTGACACGCAGGCAGTGAGAGGCTGAGGGTGGCAGGTGGGAAGCAGGGCTCATGTTTGTCACTCCTGGGTGGGGAACAAGGGCCACCACCTCGTTGACTTTCCCACGGCAACCTGGCCCGTGACTGGGTGACACACTAAAGAGGGACGGAGGGCAGGGGCAGGTGACCTCAGCGGGCAGTGCAAGGTGCACCGAGGACACGGGCCACAAGGTTCTCTCTGGAGGGTCCTGCCTGCAGCCCAATCCAAGAGCCCAGGAGCGGAGAGGCCTCCAGAGAAGACTGGGGAGCTGAGGGCGCAGGGCGAGTCCACACCGCCTGCCCGTGGGCCCTGCGAGGAGGTGGCCTCAGTGTCTTCTGGTGGCCGAGGGACAGAGAGGGAGGAGGTTCTGAGCTCACTGCTCACTCTCCCGCCCAGTTAGCATGCAGAGGTCCCCACCCCAGGGAGGACACAGGGCAGTCTTGAAGGGTGGCAGACGGGCATAGAGGTGTCACTGAGAGCTGACCGCGCAAGGCCACGCCTGAGCCACGACGACCTGGCCCACGGAGCTTGTAGCCAGCTCCAGACAGCAGGGAAGACGGAAGGACCCAGAGCCAGGTGAGGAGGGCATCACGCGGCTGGCCCCGGAGCCAAGCAAGAGCCACCAGAGAGGGCAGCTCACCACGAGGATCCCCAGGGGCGAGAAAGGCCTGCATTTCAACCAAAGGGACTGGCTGCGGTGGGCCGGAGGCTGCGCGCTGCAGAGGGATGGCCCCAAGCAGGCAGGGCCTGTTCCAGACCCCGCAGTCCTACTTCCTGGCAGTACACGCCCCACGCCTGAGGACAGTCCACACCTGAGGAGAGTCCACTCCACACCTGAGGACAGTCCACCCCTCACCTGAGGAGAGTCCACACCTAAGGAGAGTCCACCCTCACCTGAGGACAGTCCACCCCACACCTGAGGACAGTCCACCCCACACCTGAGGACAGCCCACACCTGAGGACAGCCCGCTCTTGCCCAGGAGCCTGGGCCACCCTCTGCTCGGGCTGGATGGTATTCCTCTGCCCAGTCGTGGTGGTCTCAGGTCCTCTCGGGTGAAGGCCTGGCCCTCTCTGCCCTGCTCACTAGCCCAGCACCTCCCTGCCCTCCTTGGGAAGCAGCCTCTGGCCTGGGCTGCCCCTCGCCTCTCCAGGGCCTTCACCAGCTGTGCCTGCAGTGCCCTGGCTCCGCCTCCTGCCTCCCCTGCCCCTTGGCCACACCGTCCCTCGCCCTCACGGTGCCTGCCTGTTCCTGCTTCCACCCCTGCAACGGAAGCTCAAGGATCTGGGTCGCGTTAGTCTGTGGATGCGTCCCCCAATGCCAGGACCCACACCTGGCTCCAATGGGGCGCTCTAGAAATGTCTGTGGCATGAACCCAGGTGGCTAGGGACCCTCACCTGGATGTCGTGCGCTGGGCAAACCAGGTTGGCTATTTCTCTCTGCAGTCGTGACCGCAGCCCCGAGCAGGAGCCGGTCCCTCCAGACAGGATTATGTGGTGAAAGAGGGTCTTCCACTGGCGGGGGTGACAGGAGGAGATGCAGCGGAAGACGGTCATGGGCATGCCCAGGCTGTTCCTCTCTGCCAGGAGGGGAGAGAGAAGCCCTGGGGGCTGGAGGCCTGCCCCGTACCCAGCCCTCCCTTGCGGCTGATGGAATGGGCACCAGGCCCTGCAGGGCGCCCATAGCCCCCTCCCCCGGTGCAGCAGAGGACTTCGATGACCCCAGGTAAGGCCAGGTGAGCATCCACAAGGTAGTGAAGGGAGCCTGGCAACAACCCCATAGGACTGACTCTGCCGGCCCCCGGAACAGTGCATCCTCCAGGGGTGCCGACAGCTGTCAGTCTCTCATGCGCCGTATGACTATGTTCTGAAAGGCTCCGCGGGGGCAGCGTCCTGCTCGGAGCCTGTGGACAAGAATTCTGAGCAACACTCTTGAGCCCACAGAATGACAGGGGCACTGGTGTGTGGCCATCTCTCAGACGCCATGCGCCTCTGAGCCTCTGTCCTTCCTTACATTGGGTGCCTTGGCCAAGGTTGAGGAGCTACTCACAGGGGCGGCTCAGCCTGCCTGGCAGGAGGCTCTGCCAGCCCTGAACCCTGGTCCAGGATCCACCCAGACCCTGAAGAGGACTTGGATGCAGTGGCAGAAGGGCTCCAGTGACTGGTCTGTCCTCACGATATTCCAGGGGGTGTGTGTGTGGTTTTAAGACTAGGAGCTTCCAGGCACGCTGGGCAACTGCCAACCCCCCTAACCTACCCAGGACCTCTGGAAAAGTCCTGGGAAAGAGCCCAGGTTTTACACCTCTGCATCCCCCACAAATGTCACAGTCATTCCAAGAAGGGGATTCCACGGAGCACTTGTTTCCCAAGACTCCCCGGCAAACTCGTCTCCCCTTTCCTGTGACTCCGTCACCCGCCTCTTGCCCTAGCCAGTGCTGCCTGCCTGCCAAGGTCACTCAGCTGGAGGCTCATCTCAAACCTCCTGGTCAGCCAGATCTTTCCGATTCCCTCCAAATCTACGGGTTTCACCTTTCTGCCTCAATTATCTGCATTTTTGTATGCAAATTACTTTGTAAGTAGGTGGGGTTTTAAAAATATAATGCACCCGGGAAGACCTGCAGCCCAGTGGAGTCACGCACCACTCTTGGCAAATGATTCAAGACTCCTGGGGTGAGTTTCCTCCTCTGTAAGGCACGTGGACTAGAGATGGGGGCAGAGAAAAGGCCCCCATCTCCAAGTGTCCTCAAGGCCAGGGGCACACAGCGGGCACCTGGCGAGAGACAGCTAATACCAGAGGAGCCTGTCTGCCCCTCAAACAGGACCTCCTCCTGGGCCCAGCACCTTCTTTCCCAGGGCCCCAGGGCCTGTCCTGCTGCCTTCCCTGCAGACTCACCTATGAGGCTGGGCTGGAAGAGCACCTCGGGGCAGAGGAAATGCTCCTGCCTGAGGGTGATCTCCTGGCCATCAGGAAGCAGGAATTTGTTTTGGCAGGACAGCAGGTTATCTTTGGACTTCTCCTTGTTGAAGTCCAAGGCCACATAGCAGCACTTCTCTTTTATGTCCCTGACAAACTCTGGATCCCCTACAGGACACAAAGGAAAAGCCCCAGCTAGAGGAGGCAAGAAAGCAGCTCACAGAGCCCCTGCCGTGAGGAGGAGAGGCCCTGCCAGCTGCCCTCCATGTGCAGCCTGGACAGCAGGTCCTCTTGTCCACGTTGCAAGGCCCTGGGCCTGCCCTGAGAGGGAGGGGTTGCAAGATGTCAGCATTTTGTAGGTTGAGACCCTGCCATGTGTGGTGTGCTTCGAGGACTAGAAAGTCAACCCACATTGATTATTTACTGCAGTAGGAGGTTCTGCAAGCTGCTCTGGAGGACCACGCACAGCCCAGGGGCCCCTCATCTGGACACTCCTGGAAGGCGATGCCCACCCTTTTCCAGGCAGCTGGCAACAAATGTTAAACCAAGCTAAACCTCTGAGGTGCAATCAAGTATCCCCGCAGTGCTGCCTGGAAATCCCACCTGCTCTGCAGCCCAGTGACTTCCAGATCCCACCATCCAAACTGCTCCTGCCCAAATCTGTTCTGTCCTCCTACTTCTCCTGATGCCTTTCCCTTCTTCATCTGGTTCAAGCTTTAGTGAAACAGATCTGAGTTCAAATCCCAACTCTGCCATTTTACCAAATGCCTAGATTTCAGCAAATCCATTATTCCCTAAGCCTGCCTTTTCTTCTAAATGAATGAATAAAATTAATGGTCACTTTCAGGATTATATTAAGGACAAATGGAAATAATGCACATAAAAATCTTGCTGAATGTGATCTGTCAATAACATGCTGACTTGGCCAAGCCCAGCCCTTCTCATGTCCCTCTTGATGGGTGCCATCCTTCAGGGCTCCCTGCTTTGCTTGGCATTTGCCATGGACTTCTGGCCGGGAAGACCAGAAAGGCCGGTGCAGGACTGCTGGCTTGCTGGAAATGGCTGTTATACAGTTTTTTCAGGCTAGGAACATAGCCGAAAAGAGGGACGGGCACTGTCTGTCTGAAGTCCTTAGATTCATATCCCGAGAGCCAATACCCTCACTACTTATGGGGTACTGGCCAAAGACCCCATTCTTCCTCTGCCTCTTTGTCTTGCAATAGAAATAACTTTTCTCCCTCATAGGGTTGTGGCAAGAAACAGATAGAACATGGGTGGAGTGCTAACTTGGCCCAATGCCCTGCACAGAATCACCACCACCATCACCACCTCCACCATCACCACCACCACCATCACCACCAACACCATCACCACTCCCATAACCTTCACCATCACCTTCACCACCACCATCACCTTCACTATCACTTTCACCATGACCACCACCACCACCACCACCACCACCACCATCACCATTGCTATCACCAGCACCATTGCTATCACCACCACCACCACCACCATCACCTTCACCATCACCACCACCATCACCTTCACTATCACTTTCACCATGACCACCACCACCACCACCACCACCACCACCATCACCATTGCTATCACCAGCACCATTGCTATCACCACCACCACCACCACCATCACCTTCACCATCACCACCACCATCGCCTTCACCATCACCATCAGCAGCAGCACCACTGTCACCACCACCACCACCATCATCATTAACTTCATTGCCATCACTGTCATTGTTTTGTCAAATTTTTCCATGCTGTGACTAGAAGACCTGAGCAAAACAACTGTGGAGGGGGAAAAGTTTACTTGAGGGCTCATAGTTTCAGAGGTCTCAATCCATAGAAGGCCAGCTCCATTCCTCAGGGTCAGGGGAGGCAGAACATCACGGCAGAAGAAGGTGGCAGAGGGAAGCAGTTCACAGGATGGTCAGATGCAGAGAGAGACTTCACTTGCCAGATACAAATATATACCCCAAAGCCACACACACCCCAATTCCCCGCTCCTCCTGCCCCACCAACCACTTCAGTCACCACCCAGGAAGTCCCTATCAGGGGATGAATTCACTGATTGGGTTAAGACTCTTGGAACCCAATCATTCCTCCTCTGAACCTTTCTGCATTGTCTCACACTGAGCTTTGGGGGGACACCTCACATCCAAACCATAACAGTCATCATCACCATCACCTTCATCATTATAGCCTTCATCACCATTATCAGCCTCACCACTGTCACCAGCAGCAGCCCCACCACCATTTTTACCATCCTCACCATCCCCACCATCCTCACCATCTCCACCATCCCCACCATCCTCACCATCCCCACCATCCCCACCATCCCCACCATCATCACCATCCCCACCATCATCACCATCCCCACCATCATCACCATCATCACCATCTCCACCATCTCCACCATCCCCACCATCCTCACCATCCCCACCATCCCCACCATCCTCACCATCCCCACCATCCCCACCATCATCACCATCCCCACCATCATCACCATCCCCACCATCCTCACCATCCCCACCATCCCCACCATCCCCACCATCATCACCATCCCCACCATCCTCACCATCCCCACCATCCCCACCATCCTCACCATCCCCACCATCCCCACCATCATCACCATCCCCACCATCATCACCATCCCCACCATCCTCACCATCCCCACCATCCCCACCATCATCACCATTCTCACCATCCTCACCATCCCCACCATCATCACCATCCCCACCATCCTCACCATCCCCACCATCATCACCATCCCCACCATCCCCACCATCCCTACCATCCCCACCATCATCACCATCCCCACCATCATCACCATCCTCACCATCCTCACCATCCCCACCATCATCACCATCCTTACCATTACCACTATTATCACCACTATCACCAACATGATCACTATTGCCACCACCCTCAACATCATCACCATCACCATCATCACCCTACCATGATCATCACCATCATCTTTCTCATCATTGTCAAGGGAAGAAATGTCCCTACATATAGAGAGGGTTGAGTTAGAACTGGGAGGCTGGTCCTGTTGCCTTAACTTTACGACTGAGGGCTGCAGGTTGAGTAGGCCAGGAAAGACATCACACCCCGTTACCTGGCTGTGAATAGCGGTTTCCTACCTGTGCTCACCAGCAGGTTCCCCTCTTGGGCCAACAGTTGCATAAGGTACATGGTCAGGTCTTGGCAGGCTACATTCATCTGGGTGGTTGACTGGAGCAAAGGACAGCCATCAATGATGGGCACAAAGTACGTCATCCCTTCTCCAGACTCGATGGTTGTTCCTGGGTAAGAGAACACATTGGCATCATCATGTGCCACTTACCACTGCCAGGTCTGCAGGAAGAGAAGGCAGAGGAGGAAAGGTCCGGAGGGAAGGCACAGGGTCCCAGGAGCTGGCTTCTTCCTGGGGGAGCACACTCTCCTGGGGAGGGGCTGCTTAGAAGAGGAGCCTGCCTCGTTTTCTGATTGTTAGAGGGAGGAATGTCAGAGCAGGTGTCCAGAGGTCAGAGGGGAGGAGAGTGCCCTGGCATGAGCATCTCTGGGCAGCACCCAGGTGTGTGTGGGGGGAGCTGGACACAGTGGAGGGGGCTGCGTTTCCGCCAGCAAGGCACACTGGGCGGGGTGGTCCAAAAGGACGTGAGTGGCAGTGGAAATGCACGACTCATTCTGTGAGACCCAGTGGCTTCTGGGGTTGTCCAGAGCTGATCGGGATCCGGGCCACTGACTCCTGGCACCTGTCGAACTTGCAGCCACGGACTGCACGTTTCAATGAAGCTGGTCAAGCAGAGAGTCCCTCTCCTCCCAGCCACGCTGGGGACCAGGGAGAGGGTCTCCCTCCCACTCTTGCAACTAAGAACGCAGGGTCTGCCTTCATATTTCTGGTGCCAGGCAAGAATACAGTGTCTTGGGGGCTGGGACACTAGGCCATTGTCACCTGTGGACATGATCTCAAAATTCAAACAGAATCAGTGACACATACAATGGCTCAATCATGACCAGTTGGGTTTGGCCTGGAAGGCCGTGCAGTGCTACCTCTCCAACGAGGAAACACCCCACTGAGGAGGAGAGAGAACCCAGCCTCTGCCGCTGCTGAGAACACAAGACACCACCAAATGCATAAAGACACCGATCCTATCACAACACTTCCTGCTGCAAAACTGAATGGTTCCCTCTAAGATCAAGAGCAAGCCAAGGACCTCTGCCCCACGGCTTCATGCAACCCAGCAATAAAAATTAAAAGCATCCAATTCCAAAATCATGGAATGGAGTAAAACCTAGACAAGATGATGGTCCAAATAATAAATCCTACAAAATCTAAATAAGTGGGTTTAATTAAAATATCAGCATATAATGTCAATGTACAAAAATCAATCATAGGGATCTGGGGTGTAGCTCGGGAGACAGAGCTTGCCTAGCGTGTGTGAGACCTGGATTTGATCCTGTACCACGAAAGCAAAAAGCCTGTTGCATTTCTATATAAATAATAATGAATAATGACAGTTGAAATAAAATATAATTTATAATACCACCCAAGTGTAAGAAACAGACAGATATGACCAGACCCCCGACCTGTCCTCTGCGAACACAGGACACTGCTGGGAGAAACTAGGGTCCTAGCAGGCATGCCATGGTCACCCTGGAGCTAACTATGCAGCTGGCTCCGATCCACTCTCAGACCCCGGGGTGGGCGAGCTCAGGGCCAGCGCTCACCCAGCAAGCACAGGCCTAGCCCCAGCCCCAGCACCGCAAGAGCAGAACCAAACCACAGAACCTGAAGGGGTGGTGGGCAGGTTTTGTTGGTTTTAGAAAATTACAAATGAATTTTAAAATTTATATGGAAATGCAGAGGACCTAAAATGATCAAAACCTTTCAAAAACAAGAGACTGAAGCAGTAGCACTGATGTCACCTCCTTTGGAGACTCCTAATGAGCTGTTCTCAGGACAATGCGGTGGCATCCCACAGCTGGACCCAAAGCTGAGAAGACGGGGTCCAGAGCTGCCCCGAGCACACGGAAAACTGGCTTTCAGAGCGCTCCAGGTAAGTCAGCAGAGAAAGGGCAGTGTCTTCCACAGACACCCCAAAAAACAGGAGCTCTGTGTGCGCACGCGCACACACACACACATGCTTCATTCATACCTTATGCCTTATTCAAAACGGACCCTAGGACTTAGCGTAGAACCTAAATCTTTGAGAGTTCTAGCAGAAAATCTTTGAGTTTGGTTCCTCTTTTCCTCTTTATTTTTATAGTGAGGCAGGGCCTTGCTAAGTTGCTGAGTCTGGCCTCTAACTTGCAATCCTCCTGCCTCAGCCTCCCGAGTCACTAGGATGACAGGCATGTGCCATTAAACCCAGTTCAGCCCCTATTTCTTAGATGCAATACCAAAGTCATGGCCCACAAAACAATGAGCTAATAATAAATTGGACTTTATGGAAATTGAAACCTTCAAAAGACACTGTGTCGAGAATGAAGGGAAGGCAGAGTCAGGTATGTGCAAAATATACGTCTGGCAGAAGGCTTGTGTCCAGGATACATAGGAGTGCAGAGAACCCAAGACTGTGGAGCGCTTCACCAGGGGACATGCGAGGCGCCCAGGAAGCGTGGTCCAGTGGCAGCGTGGTCAGGGTGTGAATCGAAACCCTGGGACACACCACTGCGTTCCCACTCCATGCCCAGAGCTCCAGCAGCTGTGGACTAAGTGGTGGGGCTGCCTTGGTGGCTGGCTTGCAGGTGTCTTTAGAAGTTAAACACACGCCCACAATGTGGCCCAGCCAGTCCCCCTCTGGATATTTATCACAAGCTAAGGAGAGCGTTCATGCATGCAAAGACCTCCACACCATGTGCATGACTGCTTTCTTCCAAGAGCTCCAACAGGAACCTGCCCAAACCCATTCATGGGCAAATGAATGAGGGTGACCCACCCCAGGGAACGACCCACAGCAATACCAAGGAATGGATTTCCAGATAATTCAGAGTGAAAAGGGACACAGGGCAGAGCCCTTGCCTTCTGATGCCGTTCATACCGGAAGGCACTCCGTATGAACCCATCTGTGGGGACAGGCTAGGAGTCAGCTGGGGACAGGCGGGAAGGGTGGCAGGAGGGAGCCGTTGGGGTGAGGTAGGTTCATTATGTGGGTCGTGGTGATCCATACGTCAAACTTGTCAAAGCGTGCCCCTGAAACACGTCGGGCTTATGTGTCAATCACACCTCAATAAAGCTGTTGAAGATAAGGGTGAGTCCAGCGGATTTTAAAAATCTGGGTGCATCCTGCTTAACCAGAGGGTGGGAAGGCGGGGGTGCAGGCTGTGTGGTCCCCTCCCTTAGGTGCCAGGGAGGAGTGTGTGCTGGGATGGGACTGTGGGCTGGGGGAGGGGCTCCCACAGGGCCACTCACCCGAGGTTTGGCCGGAAGAGTACAGAGACAGGACACCTTGGTTGCCTATGTAGAGGGCGGGGACTCCGAAGGTCTCAAACAGGATCTAGGGGGACAGCAACCGCGCTGGCAGCCAGGCCCCACACGGGCAGAGTGCAGGCTCCACGGCTGCGCAGCCCACAGGGGCAGAGGGGCTCAAGGCGCGCCCCTCCCCAGCCCTGCGAGCCCCTCCCCTCCCCGGCTGCGGAACGCCCTCAGGGCTCCTCCTGTGACAGCAGGCCCATCTGAGGGCAGGGAGGACTCCCCCAGCCCCTGCGGCCCCGGAGGCTCCTTGGAGCAGCTCTCTTCTGCAGCTGGGAGGTGGGGAGGTTCAGTTCCTCTGAGGGGACTGGACACGGGCCCGGGTGCCTCGCTGGAGCAGACGTGGTGTGTTCCAGAAACATGGCCCAGGCGTCCCCGGGGAGCCAGGGCAGGAGTGCCCAGGCGAGACCAACTGGCTCTTCCCACACAGGTACGTGGCGGCCCCTGGCCCCAGAAGACAGAAGGCAGGTGAGCAGGTGGCCTCGAGGCTGAGCACAGGCGGCTGCTTGCTGGGCCCTGCACCCGAGATGGTGGCCGTGAGCTTCACCTGCAGGGAGGCCGTGCTGTGCTCGGAGGGCTTTGAAGACCCTTGTGCAGTGCCACTGGGGTGGATGAAAGGCACCTCTGTCACCGATACTCTGAGCAAGAGAAGCCTTCTAGACAGGACCACAGCAGGACTCGTGTCCAAGGACAGTGACTCTGAGCTGGATCTGCACGTGGCTCCGGGCTCCTCTGCGCTGGGTCCCGGGGTCTCTCCCAGCCATTCTGCACATGGAGGCTGTCCTCAGGTGCCCTGCAGCTGGCCCAGGTCAATTAGAGCAGCTACATACTGGCTCTGCACGTGACATCCAAACGAGGGCAGCGGTAGGGTGTGGACTTAACCACCCACCCAGAAGGGGGACTGACTGGCCTCAGGAGGGGCCTCCAAACTGGGTCAAGGCAACGCGTTAGAGCCGCCTGCCGCGCGGGTCACGGTGAGGGGCTGACAGCGCAGAGCCTGGAGCCTTCCGGGCAGTTTTCCATCACTGTCGCCAAACTACCTGACGCGACTTGTCCCTTTGTTCAGGCCGTGGCCTGCTGACTCCATTGCTCTGGAACATCTTGGGGAAGGGCGTGTGGGGGAAGCTGGCAGCTCTGGGCAGCCAGAGACAGGATACATTCCCCAAGGACACAGCCCAGTGACCGGCTCTCTCCACCCTCGCCCCGCAGGCCCACAGTTCCTCCCCTTCAGTAGTCCACTCCATCCAGGGACGACCGCCAGGAGGTGATGAGGTCAGAGCCCCCTCCGGCCAATCCCTTCCCCCGACTCTGAACACAGATGCCCTGGGGACACATGAGCTTTTGGGGACGGTCCAGTTCCAACCACGCGGGCAGCAGCAGCATTGAGGTAGGAGGGAATCCACCCGAGGGAAACCCTGTGCTCATGCGGCCTGGCCCAGGCGGGCTCATCGCGGCCACTCTCACAGGAGTCCAACCGCAGACCCCCCCAAAGGAGTCACAGCGTGTGTCTGGAGGGCGCGATTCTCACAGGGAGGGCTCAAACTAGAGCACTGGCTCCCAAAACTGCCCCGCCCTGCCCACCTGCGCCAAGCCTGAAGGTCGTGGAGCCCAAGGTCATGGAGCCTGAGGGTCATGAGCTGCGGGGTCTTCAGGGCCCCTGCAGTCTAACTCCTGTGGCCCAGGGGGGGAAACAGGCCTGGGAACCGTGGGGCCGGGTTTGCCGAAGGCTGGAGAGCTACAGGGCTTTGAGGTACCAGCTCATTCTGTCCTCACAGTGACCCCAGGGGTCCTTTACTATCCTCCAGATGAGGACACTGAGGCAGAGCCAGGACCACTGACCTGCCTGAGGTCAGGTGTGCGGCAGAGCCAGGCCAGGACCAGGGGACTCGGGGCCGGGCTCCCTGTGCGGCCACTGGCTTCTCTTCAGGAACATGGCTTTCCGGATCCCACAGGGGCACCGCAGAAGGAGCACCAGCCCTGCACGTCCCCACCCATTCCAGGCCCCTGCAGGGGCCACACGGGTGGCAGCTGGACGAGGGACATTGGCAGGGAGGGAGCTCGGCTGGGAGGGTGGCTGCAGGGTGGCTGCTGCCCCTTGGCCTGCAGAGACCTCTCCTTTCCCGCCTCCCTCTGCCCCGGGCTGAGGTCTGGGGTCTTTTCTTGGGCGGCTCTTAGGGGCACCAGAAAGAGATTGGGGACACGGGGGAGGGGTGCGTGCTGGAGCCCCTGCCCCTCCTAGGAGCCTCCCCTCTGACCACGGGTTTCTGGGCAGGGCCTCTCTTGTTCTGTACACAGGACTCTCTAGGGGCAAGGGGTGGCCATGACCCCCAGTCACTAACAGGGTACACTGCTCGGGGCGAAGCGCCTTCTCTGAGACACACGCCCGTCTTGGTGTCCCTTCCTAACTGTCTCAGCATGGCCCAGTGAGCAACCTTTGGCTCCCTGCTAGACTCCAACACAACCAGAGGTGGGCCGAGGGGAGGCGGCTGGAGCCACCTGCTCGGCTGCTGCGGTGGCCAACTTTGGTGTCAACCTGACGGCGGTCAGACCTTCCTACGGGGGTGCCCCAGGGTGCCCCAGATGGCCCCCGAGAGCGCAAGTCTTAGAGCACAGAGGCTTGACAGGAGAGGCCGCCGCATCTGCCCGGGAGCTGGGACACAGCTCTTCCCTGCCTTAAGGCTCCAGCGGCGTCCTCAGCCTCGGCCTCCAGGCAGGAGCCACACCATCAGCCTCGGGGTCTCCAGCTTGTGAGGCTGGTCTTGGGATCTTGGCCTCCGCAGCCAGGTGAGCCTGTTGCTCCTGCTAGAGCTTCTGGGCACACACCCTGCTGCTCCTCTGCAGCTGGGCAGCGGCCTGCTCCCTGGGGCGAGGGGGTCCTGCCCCTCTCCGACCTCCTCCAGTGTGCCAAGGGCCTCATGGACACTGGTCATTCTCCAGACGGGTACGTCCTGTGCTGGTCCCGGAAAGCCAGCACTGCCCCACTTCCATGATCTAAATGTCCCCGCAGAGGAGGGGTCAGTGGCCCACGTGGGGCTTTGTATAGATGAGGCGGCAGCTCGCACCCAGGCTGTGAAGGATGCAGCTGCTGTTTCTGGGCCTGTGCAGGTGGCGCCTCGGCCCTGGGCCTGTCCTGCAGGTCGCTGCTCAATGGAGAGACACCGCTGGGCTTCAGGATGGCTGGACAGATGGAAGAGCCCTGCTGCTTGCTTAATTAGCCCATGGATGTCCTCATTAGGAGGAGCCCAGGGATGAGCTGAGGACTCAGGCAGAGCCTGGGGCACCCTGCAGCCCTGCCCCCACCCCCACCCCCCGGCCCCGGTGCAATCCTGAGGGCGGTGATCTGCACCAGGGCTTGTCGGCTCCGCCATCCAGCTACCCAGGGACCCCACCAGCACACACCACTGACCCCTCTGCACAGGCAGGACAGGGGTACCCTCACAGGAGAGCCCAGCAGCTTTCAAAGCAGAACCAGACGAGGACGAACCACAGAGCAGTGGTTGGGGTGGAGCTTGGGGTCACACCCTCTGGGTCCACCAGCCACTGGCTTGTGACCTGAGGCAAATCACTTGAGCTCCCACTGCTCCAGCGTGTCCGTCTGGACACAGGGGCTTCTAATCGCCTGCCCACGGGCTGGATGGGTGTGAAGCCGCTGCTGTGGTGTGCCCGGCCCAGAGCCTGACCACTCGGCAAGCCCCCAATGTAGCCGCCACTCCTGTTGCCACCGTCAACGGGGCCAACTCCGCCCAGTGCCTGTTCCTGATGCACCCAGAGAGGACGAGGCCCTGAGGCTGCTCCAGCTCAGGAGGAGGCCGGAGGCTGACCCCCCGCCCCGCTGGCCCTGTTACCTGGGTCACTTTCTCTTTGGTGGATGTTTTGCTTAAGGGAGGTTCTGTCACCATGAGAGGGTGCTCCTCGGGGGCGATGCTGAGCACGTGGTAGAAAGAGTGATGCCAGATCTGGGGGGAGAGCGGCAGGTGAGCTGTGCTGCCCAAGGCAGAGCCGGCTGCCCCTCCAGGCAGGGTGCTGTCCGTCCGTCCATCTTCTACCATCTGTCATCTAGCAATCACCTAGCACCTATCAATCACCTGCCACTTATCACCTACCACCTACCAGTCACCTACACCTGTCTCTCATCACCTAGCACCTATCACCTACCACCTATGGATCACCTGCCGTCTATCTAACAGTCTCCCACCCCCCTTCTCTCTAGCTCACAAAGCAATGCAGTCAGCCTGCACATCTGTGGATTCCTCATCCAAAGACTCAGCCAACCAAGGATGGAAAACACTCAAAAAATACCTGCATCTGCCCTGAACATGTGGACTTTTTCTGGTAGTTATTCCCAAACTACCGAGTAGAGGAAGGCTCCCAGGCGTCGGCGCCGTCTTCGGCCCTGGGAGCCCCTGGCGTGGTCAGAGTGTGGGCACGATGCGCAGGTCGTCCTGCACTGCTGCAACCCTGCACCCGGGTCGAGGAGGGGGCCTGGGTCCTGGACCCACCCACGGACGCCGATGGGCTGCTGCGGTTTGGGGGTCACAGGAGGCCTCTGACTCAGGGGGGCCCTGACCTGCGGAGGCAGCGGGAAGACGAGGGTGACTTTGGACCAGGCACTCAACAACCAGCCCGGAGCTGGGGACTGGGGCAGAGCCGGGGCGGCGGGTGCTTTCCAGAGCAGCTGCACCAACACTGCGGGGCGAGCCCCAGACACCGAGGGGCTGGGTGTGCACAGCGAGAGCCCCGGCCGCGGCCCCGGTATGGACAGGGCATAGGCACAGCAAGGTGCCAGTGAACCTGACCTCATCTTTAGAATGGAGATGGTCCTGCCCTCAGAGCAGGCCGTGAGGACCCACGCCCACGTTAAGGAACTGGTGTGCCCCTCCCCAGGCAGCCCTGCAGAGCGCCACAGCCGGGCCTTCAGGCAGCCAGGGTCCCACGTCCCGGGGGCTGCGTCTGGGGTCCCAGTGTCACAAGCTGGCTCCTCCTAAGGCCTCGGCTGGTGGCTTCCCGGTGTCCTCTGTGTGTCTCTTTTCTCTCCTCTTCTCACAGGACCGTGAATCGAGACCTCCCCCAATGACCTCATTTTAACTTAATCTCCACCTTGAAGGCCACCCAAACCCAGTCACATCCTGAGGGACTCTGGAGTGCACAACCTGGCCATGACACCCAGCGAGGTACCTGGGTACCTGGCATACAGCAGGTGCTCAACAGACGCTATTAATTTTTGTGGGTGAAGTTCCTGTCTGCCCTGGCTGAGGGAGCGCCCACTGGGTGCTGTGTGGAGAGTGAGGGACGAGCTGTGTGGGTGGGGTGTGTGCAGAAACCAGGACTCGGAGGCACCCATGAGGTCACAGGCAGGTGTCATGTGGCGCCACTGGCCAGGGCCAGGGCTGGGTACAGTGGATCCACCTCCTGGAACCAGGCCTAGGTGGCCTTTCCTGCCTGGACTCAGGAGAGCTTGTGGGACCAACAGACTAGGCAGAAATGACAGTGTGACCTCCAAGGCTGGGCCACTGGGGCCTTGTGCCTCCGCCGGCCTCTGGAGGAGGCCAGGCACCTGTTCTGAGCCCGTGGGCAGCCCCAGGCAGACGCCCACGAGAAGGAGCCCCCTCCAGCCTCAGGAGAGCTCCCCTTGCCAGGGACCTCCCGCCCGGCCAAGCTGTCCGATGACGGGTTCCCAGCCACATCTGCTGCAGCCTCCCAAGACCCTGAGCCAGGCCCGAATCCCAGGCCCATGCAAAGGTGAGAGGCGGGCACTGCCACTGTGCTGGACGCCTCAGGCTTGGGCCGAGCCAGGTGTTAGGTGACCATTCTGGGTTGAATCATGTCCCCTGAGCTCACATGCTGAAGTCCCAGCCTTTCAGAGCCTGCTGCGTGGAACAGAGCTGCTGTGGACATCACGGGTGGAGACAAAGTGCCAGCGGCCCTTAGACAGGGGCAGTCTGGACAGAGACACACACGGGGAGAAGGCCATGGGCCGGTGAAGACAGAGCTCAGTGATGTCGCTATAGGCCAAGGAGCCGTGGATGGACGGCACACCACCAGCCCCGGGAGGGGCCTGGACAGCTCTGCGAGCATGACCTGGACTTCCGGCCTTCAGAATTGTGGTTTAAGCCACAGTAATAGCTGTTACAGCAGCCCTGGGACACTCGTGCCACAACAGGACACCTTGCAAGGCAGTTGCAACCTGCCCAAACCCACATGCAGGCCCAGGCCAGAACCTCAGATACGAAGAGCGGGACTCAACTTCACAGTGATCATGACTTCTGACCCTCTCAGACCGAGGGCTCCTCCCCTGTCACCCCTGAAGCCTCACGGCAGTGTTGTGGTAGGAGCAATGATACCCAACACTGTAGAGGGCCAGAGAGGCCATGCCACATGTCCAGAGTGACATTGACCATGAGCAGAGGAGACAGGACTCAAACTTGGGTCTCCCGACTCTGGGGCCTAGTGGTTGGGACCATGACACAATGTCCAGAGGGACTGAGAGCCGAGACGTGACAGAGCCTTCCTCATGCCCAGCAGGGTAGGTGACAAGGGCCCCCACCTGGACCTGCAGCCCACCTTCTCCATATTGTCCCAGTTGGTGATGGCTCCCCGGGAGATGGGGTATTGCAAGTTGAGGATCCCTCGCTTGTTCTGGACCTCATCTCCGATGAACCAGTCTTCTTCCTCCATTCCCACCGACATGGTCTGAAAAACACAGCAAGGTAGACAGGTGCCAGGGTGCACCCTGTAATCCCAGCAGCTCCGGAGGCTGAGGCAGGAGGATCGAGTTCAAGGCCAGCCTCAGCAACAGTGAGGTGCTAAGCAACTCAGTGAGACCCTGTCTAAAGAACATACAGATAAGGGCTGGGGATGTGGCTCAGTGGTTGAGTGCCCCTGAGTTCAATTCCCGGTACCCCACCCCCCAAAAAAACCACAGCGAGCTAGATCCAGCCTCAGGAGGGGTGGGGTCCCTGCCCTTGGCTTTCATTTCGGCCCATGCTGAGCAGCGCAGGGGCTGTTAAAAGTGGCTCGAGTCACAGCGTGGGCATCCCTCTCCAACCCCACCGACACCGAGAGGTTCGGGCCAGTTGTCTGCGAGACAAAGTGACCTGGGGATCGTTGCCAGGACACGGTCTCACCTTGAGAAGAGGAGACCCAGACCAGGGTAGAGAGGGGCTCTTGGGGGAGAGAGGGACACGTCCTGTGTGCTGGTTTGGAAGGTGACGATGTGGTTTTCCTCATTTCTAGGAAGGCGAACATCTACCTTCAAAGCAGATTTGACTCCCACTCTGTCACTCGGATGGGGAGGGGCCGGGGGCTTGTAGCAGGGCATGTGCCTGTGTGGGTGGCAATGGGCGGGGCCAGGGGCAGGCTGCAAAGCCACGCAGCCCATCCCGGTGGCTGAGCCCCTGACACAGAGGGCTGCAGGGCAAGAGGGTGTCCTGGACGGCTGGGCCAGCCGGGGACGCTCTTGAGCCAATGTGCTCCCCAGGAGTCCAGGGTCTTTGCCAGGAGCAGCCTGTAGGAGGCTTGGCCTCGGGGACCAGCGTGCAGAGGTGGCCGGCAAGGCCAGCGAGTGCTGCAGGCTGGGTGTGGAGTGGTGCCTGCCACAACGGAGCAGGGACTTCGAAGCAAGGCCTGAGCTCAAGGCCACCTCAGCCCACTGCACGGACCTTTATGTCCTGGGCCATCATGTCTTTCCCACGGCAGGATCTGGACCCGGGTCGGGACCCCTAGCTGAGACCCCCGACACCCTGCTCACCTCCCAGCCCTCACTGCTGTCAAGGGGGACATGGCCGACATCTGCTCCTTGTACCACGCCACAGCGCAGCTGGGGCAGCCAGTCCCATGAGGCCAGCCACCAGGGTGCATTTCAGACTGAAAGGACCCACAGACACCGAGGGTGACGGTGCTGCCGCCTCCTCTGGCACCGTTCAGCGGACCCCCGTCTACATGTGTGTGGCTCTGAGGGTGCGGACAGAGCCTCGTCCTGCTCTGGAGTTCCGCAGCCAGATGGACAGGCTTGGCCTAGGTCCTGAGGCTGGGCAGCCTGCGGGTCAGGGCTGCGCTGTCTGGAATCGACCGAGCGAAGCCCTCATCCTGCCACTAGAGCCCGACCAGTCTCTCCACAGGCTGCCCTCTGGCTGCGGCCAGCGGGAGCTCTGGGTAGAGTCCAGTGTCACCCCAGCCTCCACCTTCGCACCTGGAGAAGCCAAGGACCGGCAGCGCCTAAGTGTGGGGAGGGGCCGGGCGCTGAGGCCTGCAGGGGACGCGGCAACGGGGCTCCTGGAAGACGGAACTCAGCTCAGGCGAGCGCAGCCCGCAAGGCGCCACCGCCCACTGCTCTGTCACTGACTGTTTGTGGAAGTTCTGGCTCTCACTGTGACCCTGGGCTCTGCACCAACACCACCCTGTGGTGCTGTCTCGGTGGCCCGCCCACCCCTTTTCTGGGCAGCATTTTCTAGTCACCTGCGTCCACAGTCCGGACATGTGTCTGGACCCTGGAGAGACCACACCCACAGAATGGCGGCTGCAGGCCTCAGTGCCCCCTCCTACCTTGCCCCCTCCTGTCAGTCCTGTGCTGAGAAGAGGGGTGTGTAGGGCAGCCCACGCTGGGCTCCGCTCTCTCCAGGGCTTCAGGCCTCCGCTGGGGTCTTGGGGACAAATGCCTAGCCAGCTGGGGCCAGGGTGTGTCTTCATGGTCCAGGGACATGAAGTCTCCACCGTGCAGGACAAGGAGGAGCTGCCACCTTCAGGATAGTCCACAGGACCCCCTCCGCCTCACCCACTGCACGGACATGTGGAGTCACTTCCTGGGGCTGGGGCTGCTCTCTGCCCAGCGGCCTCACAGTCCCTCCCTTTAACTCATCAAGTCACGGTCACTGGGGGAACGTGGAGGCCCTCGGGGCTGTGCCGGGCGGCATGGGCCAGGGACATCCTGCGCAGGGCAAAGGGTCTGACTGGTGGGGTGCCCGAGCCCACTGTGCCCAAGGCGAGGCTCAGAGCAGAAGCTGGCACCCAGCCCACAGACCCGCGTCAGTGTGCCCAGGCCTTGTGGAAAAGTGAGTTAGTGCTTAGAAAGGACACGAAAATCTGAATTTCTTAGACAAAGAAAAACACGTGGCCCAGCATGTCTCTGGATGGAGACCCCAGGGAATCGAAGGCCGGTCATAAGAGGCCTCCGCGCGCGGCATCTTTCCCCGCAGCCGAGATGCAGAAGCAGTGCCCAGGCAGGGGAGGGGGAGCGGCTGAGCGCACGAGGCCCAGGGTGGGAAGGTGCTCAGCATGGGAGTCAAGTCCTGCCACCGGCGCCCTGCGAACGGGCCCTGACGCACCTGCTCAGCGAGCTAAGCCAGTCGCCAAGGGACAGGCACCGTGGCTCCACCATGTAAGGATGGTGAGGGTCTCAGGGGGCAGTGGGGAGGGGGGTGAGCCTTGGTGGATGCAGCTCCAGCCTGGGAGGAGAGGAAGCCCTGGAGGTAATGATGGCTGCCCGGCAGGCGCGTGGGCCCCGAGCCCTGAGCTGTGCACCTAACCACGGTCAAGATGGGAGACGTGACATGTGTGTCAACACAATAATAAAATCTGAAATCTGCTGAACTACGGGGAGCCATGGCAACGCGGGTCACTTTCTGGCATTGACACGTGCCCTTGGGGAGGCAGATGCCCGTTGCTGCCTGTGCGGAGGCTGAGTGTCAGTTCCCATCAGCACTCCGGGGCTCCTGTCTAAGTGGGCTGCTCCTTGGCACCCCCACCAGTCCCCAAAGTGGGAAAAGCCAGGGTCAGTGGGCGGGCAGCCAGGGCCTCCCCACAGTGGCCCTCTGTGCCCACTGCTGGGCCTGCAAGTGCCCCCAGGGCTCCTGTGTTGGAAACCTGAGTCCATGCAGCAGTGTTGGGAGTGAGGTGACCCTGAGGCTAATGTCCTGGAAGAAATGGGACAGAGCCCTCTACCTTCCTCTCCCTCTCCCTCCCCCTCTCATGCCCCTGCCTCTTCCACCTTCCACCATGGGGTGGTCAGCAAGAAGGCCCCCTCCAGCCAGGTGTAATCCCAGTGGCTTGGGAGGCTGAGGCAGGAGGATCTTAAGTTCAAATCCAACCTCAGCAACTTATCAAGGTGCTAAGCAACTCAGTCTCTGTCTCTAAATAAAATACCAAGAAAAGACGGGTGGGGAGACTGGGGATGTGACTCAGTGGTCGAGTGCCCCACAGTTCAATCCCTGGTACAAAAAATAAAAGAATTCCCTCACCAGATGAGGGCCCCCAGCCATGGACTTCGCAGTCTCCAGGACTGGAAGAAATGTTTGTTTTTTTAACATAAATGACCAGCCCCAGGTAGTCCGTTACAGAGCACAACCAGAGCATGGGCATGAGGAGGAGCAGAAACTCGGGGGGGAGGGGCCCAGCCAGCCTCGCGTTACCAGCCAAGAGCCCAGGATTCCGACACATGCCCACCTGCCCCGAGGACTTCTTTGGCCAGCCGGTGGGAGAGGGGATGGCTGCATGGGCCAGCAGCGCCTATGGGTTATGTAACCCCAGGGGGGATGCCCTTTGCCCTTGCCACTCACGTCATGCCGGACTTTGCCCAGGACGGTTGGGAAGACGGCGTAGGGAGCCTCGCATCCTGCGAAGCCCAGCTTGCTGAAGCCTGAGCCGTAGTCACAGATAACTGGCACTTGGCTCTCTGGGCGGTGTGGGACCTGGCTGTGCCTGCAGGGGAGACCACACGTTAGTGACACCATGTGCAAGGCGCTGTCCTTGGGGCAGGTGCTGTGCCAGGTGGGATGCAGCTCTGAGCAACCAGGGCTCAAGGAGCCCAGCAAGAGGCAGTGCCCCGTGGCCTGCACCCCGAGGAGGCTCAGAGGCCTCCTCCTCCGGGGGCTTTCCTGGCTCCCGGGCCCTGTGGGAGCCTCTCTCCTCTGCTTTGCGTCTAGAGAACTTTCCCCGGATGTTCACAAGTGTGGACTCCGTGAGAAGAGGTGGAGGAGGGAGTCACCCCCACAGACTCGCCCCCACTGGCCCAGTGACATTGTGGAAAGTCCATGTTCAATCTATTTTTATGGATGAAGTTTGGGGTTTTTTAAAGTTTTTTTTAAGATGGACACAATATCTTTATTCATTTTTATGTGGTGCTGAGGATTGAACCCAGTGCCTCCCATGGGTGAGGCGAGCGCCCTGCCACGGGGCCCCAGCCCGGCCCTGGATGAAGTTTTAGAGAATCGATTGCCCTCAGGAGTGAGCGAGCCCAGGTCCTCTTTGGGATGTTGCACTTTCATTAAGTCCTGGCCATGACAAATGTTCTTTTCACTTAAAAGAGACTTTGGTTCTTTTTGGAAGGTTTACGTGCTTATGGTAGAAAACTGAACCACGAGGGAAGAGAGCCCTGCCCGGTCCCGGCTAATCAACAACCGCTCTGTCACCTTCCAGTTCCCACGTGTGACAGCGAATGGTCACCTAGCACCTCTGTGGGCAGCTGCCCGCAGTCCGATTCTGGGGACACCAGGGCATCCAGTTGGCCTTGGTCTGTGGCTCCAGCCCACCCCCACCTCCCAGGTTCAGCCAACACCGTGTTGAAAATAACTGGAAAACTTTGCACCTGCACTGCGCATGTGCAGACTTTTTCATAATTTTTCTTAAGTAATACAGAACAACAACCATTCACCGGGTATTTAGATGCATTCAGTGCTCCAAGTCGTCTAAGGAGGGTGCATACAGCAGGGTGGGGCAGGTTCCCTGCTGAGGTCACGTCCTGTTCTGAAGGGCCTTGAGCATTGCTGGACTTGGGCATCTGAAGGGCCTGGAACCAACCCTCTGTGGATACAGAGGGACGGCCACACGGGCATCATAGGATACATGTGGACTTTCACATCATGTTGTCATTGAACCCTCTGACATCCCGATGCTGTTAAGTGTGCTGTGGAAACATTTTAAGTCCAGCCACATGTCATTTGACAGGAAGGTATATCCTGGGAACATGTCACACGTCATGAAGTGGTCAGTCACTGTGAGACCTTACATGCTCTAAGCTCTGATGATGTTGTCAGGTGACACTCCTAGGATCCCCTCCCCCGCACATGCAATGCCATCCCACAACTGGGTCTGCTACCCAGTGCCCTGCCTCGTCTGTCCACTGTGTCTGGCCGTGATCTACAGGTGTTTGGGCCCAGTTTTATTTTATGTTCTACGGTGCTGGGAAGGAGCCCAGGGCCTCATGCATGCCAGTCAAGTGCTAACCACTGCACCCCAGCCCCTGGTCCAAATGTTTTGGTCATTTTAAGTACCTTGTGAATGTCCTTGCCCGCCAGGCTCCATCTGCATGATGGACCGTCCCCTCAACATGCACCTCCTCGGAATGACTAGTTGGAAGACCAAGAGTTTTTAAAGGGTCCCTGGACATCTGCCAAATTGCTTTCAGAAGCCTTGATCCCTTGCCACGGCCATGTCTAGGCACGCTCCCCCTGAGCTCTCATCATCTGCACACGCCGGCCCCCTGCACAGCAGGAACCTGCGGGGGGGTCCCAGGGGAGGGAGGGCCTGGGCCTGCTGCAGTGAGGCCTGAGATTTGGGGGGGTTTGCAGCAGGGGAGGCTTATGTGACTTCCCTGCCCTGTTCCTCAGCCAGGAGGGCCCCGCATAGCAAGTGCTGCCACAGTTTCAGTCTTCCCTGGGGTCCAGGTGGCCTGGTTCCAGGATGCCCACAGATACCAAAGCCCGCAGTGCACAGGTCCCTGGTGTAACCTGGCACAGTGTCTGCGTATGACGTGCCCACAGCCTCCCTCTGCATTAAGTCAACTCTGGATTACTTACAAAGCCCAGTGCAATGCTGTACGGTTGGATGGTCATTCTACTATATGATTTAGGGAACTGACCAGAAAAAATCTGAACATGTTCAAAACACCTACAATTAAAAAGTATATTTGCTATTCCAAGTTTTATTGAATCCACATATGCAAAACCCACGGAAGCGGAGGCTGCTGGATGACTAGGAAGGATCATCTCAATGTGCAGGGCCTGCCCCAGGGAACCACTGGGCAGCAGACCTGGGGCAGGAACCCTCGAGCACACACTTCCACCAAGCCTGGTGCAGTCGGGTCTGGAAATAAAATGGTTCTGGGGCTGGTCTGCTGCCGTCCTCTCGGTTTGGTACCTAGCGCTGGCATCCAGGACACCAGCTCCCAGACAGGGTGGCTCTCCCCTTTGGTTGTCTGAAACCATCTCAGGCTGGCTTCCTTTTCCTTCCACCTGGTGAGCAGGAGGAGGAAATGGGGCTGTAACTGCACTGCCCTCCCCAGGCTGACCATGCTCACCTCTCTCGAGTGGGACAAAAGCCAGCTCAGAGCAGGGGACCTGACTCAGGTGGGCTGGGTCCCTGAGCTCGCCCACGGCTGTAGAGCCAGGCAGAGCTGCCAGCCCAGGGTGGGGCGTCCGACCGTACTGAGCCTGTAGACCTGGATCCTCAGCATCAACACAGAAGTAAGGATCTACGGGAACAGAAAACTGAATACAAGGTCAGCTCTCAGAAGGGGAACCACTGACCCCAGGACTGACCAACAAACGGAAGGAAAGACTGAGTCACCCAGAACTTCAGGTACTGTGCTGGGCACGCAGTGAGTGCCAGAGAGGACTGGAGGTGGACAGGGGAAGGGGGGGAGAGGTGGGGCCCCTGGACGCCAGGTTCCTCTAGGTCACAGCTTCTGTCTGAAGCAGCTGCTGGGATGGAGAGTGGTGGCCGGTGACCTCGTGGGCTGCGCTGGGGTGACTGTCAGCCGTTGACCTCCGTTGACCATACAAGCCCTCCCCATCGCCACCCTCTCCTGCCCCGTGTGCTCTGGCACACATCTTCGACCACAGTGCTAAAGCAGCTGGACCCGTAGCCACCAGACGGAGCCCTGGCTGGCAGCTTCACGGTGCCAGGTCTGCCGTACCACCTGGAGTGGCCTCGGGCCAGGCAGAGGATGAGCGCAGGGCACGCTGGCTGCACCCTGGGTGGGTCTGCTCAAGCCTCCTCCTCTCACCAGCACCTCTGCGGAGATCAGCAAAACCGTCGCCTTCCTACCATCCCACCTGCTGCGGTCTCCCCACTTCCTGAGGATGTGCCTCAGCCTGGCGGGCCACCTTTTCCCTTCTTTCCGTAGGACCATCTGTGGTCACATCGAGTGGCCCGTCCACGGGTGTTGGCACCTACCCCTCCACCCAGCTTGTCAGGAGGAGCTGCCTGGGATGGAAACCCTGCTGGGGGCTGGACCAGTATGGGGTGTTGCGGTGAGTGTGTCCCCCAGAAAGACCGTGGAGACCCTTGCCCTGGTCTGCGAAGGCGAGTCCTCAGCTCCCCAAAGCCCAGGAGACAATGCAGCAACCATCAGAGGAGAACGATCGGATGATGAGCGCCATAATCTAATCAGCGGAATAATCCCACTTGTGAATTAATAATTTGTTTTTGATTAATTTTTATCGGCTCTTGTCCCAGGTGCCTTACTTGCTCTGCTTCCCAGCGGCCATGTCCTGAGCCGCTCCATTCCACCATGCCCTTCCGCCACGACCTTCCGCCATGACTCTCTGCCTCCCCTCAGGCCCAGAGCCATGGTGTCAGCTGTCCATGGACTGAACCTCTGAAACTGTGAGCCCCAAATAAGCTTTCCCCCTCTAAGTTGCTCCTCTCGGGGTGTCTTGGTCACAGCAATGAAGAGCTGACCAACACAGTGAGCTCATTCAGAAATAGGGTCCCTGCCGATGTCATCAGGTTAAAATGAGGTCGTGGTGGATGAGGGTGGGCCCTAATCCTGTTCATCTGGATTAATTAGTGTCACTCAATCTCCACGTGCTGCCTTAGGCCTTCACTGTCACTCACCATTATGTGAATAATCATTTGAATAATCAAAAGGAAACGCCTGGTCCTTTTCTCCCGCGAAGGCCACCTCCTCTGAACTTGGGCTGGCGGTCCTGCAGCGGTCCTGACAGAGCCGCTCTCGCACACACGTTCCTTCTCTTCCAATGTACTTTGTCTTAAGGATCCCTCCATCACACACTGGCTGTGGTTCGGGGGTTTGTGGGTAACAGAAGCTCCCCCGGTGGGGCGGGCACCGTGGAGGCAGCGTGGGGGGCCAGAGCCGGCAGCCCGGGCTCAGTGGCCACATCTCTGAGCTGCTATCAGCGCCTCGGGGTTTGCAGATTGGTGTTGGCGGTCACTAGAGATTGAAGCCAGATTTAAAATTAGGCAGTCAGTGTAGTTAGGTAAATCGGGTCTAGTATCGAGTGAAATCTAAAATGGAGGCCATGCGGAGAATGACTCAGGGAAAACGCAGGACAACTCATGGAATGTTAATGAAGTCCCGAAAAGGCCCTAGGCCAAAGTCCATCCCAAAGAAGTGTTAATGGACAGCCCCCAGCAAAAAGGTGCTGACTCAGAAGTCCTTCCTGACCAGATTACTTCTTTGGCCCACCTGTGTCCCACCCCTCGGGCCTTCCCACCTACATTCCATCACCAAAACTATAAAAAGGGGAGACAACATCCCTTCCACGGATTCCACCTCTTGGGTCCCCTTCTTCCTCCAGGAGAAGTCTTTTCTGCTATCCTTTAATAAACTTCTAATTTCTACTCTGACCTTGCCTCGGCGTGCTTCTTTGGTGTTATTCTTCAACATTGAGGAAGCAAGGACTCGTCACCGGTCGACAGCGGTAACAAGATGACTCAAGATTGACCCGTATTTCTGCAGTGTGGGATTGCTGAGCCCAGAGATGAGCTCGTATCCTCTGGTAGCTACAGAATGTATTTATTTATTTATTTATTTATTTATTTATTTATTTTTTTTTTTTTTTTTAAAGAGAGAGGGAGAGAGAAAGAGAGAGAGAGAGAGAATTTTAATATTTATTCTTTTTTTAGTTTTCGGCGGACACATCTTTGTTTGTATGTGGTGCTGAGGATCGAACCCTGGCCGCACGCATGCCAGGCGAGCGCGCTACCACTTGAGCCACATCCCCAGCCCTACAGAATGTATTTAATTAAAAAAACGTGCTAGACTGAGATGGGGTGCAGGCAGCAGCAAAGGGCACAGGTCCTCCGCCAGGCAGAGAGGGGCAAGGTCCCCAGGAGGTTACTCAGCACTGACACGTCTCAGTTTTAACATCTATAAAATGTGAACAATGTCCCAACCAGTGTGGCACTCAGACGGCAGCTGAGGGAAACGGTAAGGATTGCTACTGTGACTTAACAAATTGTGATTTGGAAACAAAGTATCCCCAACAAGCTATTGCGCACCCGATAAGTTTCTAAACAACTATCCCCAGTGAGCTGAGGGGGCTGCCCCTCTACCTGGCACTAATGCCCAGAGCTGCCCCTGGGGCCGGCCAGGGTTTGGGTGAAGAGCTGCTGAGCCTGGTGAGCCAACCTGACACCATGTGGCTCCTCCACTGTTCTACAGGGAACGGAAAGCCCAAGGCAGCCGTGGGTAAGTCAGCCGTGGGACAGCGTCCCTCCGTAGCCTGTTTCCCAGGCCTTGCACGGGGAGAGGGCCCTGCCCACAGTGCCCTTGGGCAGATCTCCAGCAGCGCTCCTGAGGGCTGCGGGATTTCCTAACCGCCTGCTGGAGCAGCCCTGCCGGAGCCTGGCCAGACCAGCTGGGCTCCACCTGCCGCTCCCCCGGAAGCCCCCTCCCCCCCTCCTGCGTCCTCTCCTCCCACAGGTGCAGGAGGAGGCTGGGATCAGAGGTGCAGACCGGAGCAGGCTCATGTCTGGAGAAGTCCCCTTCCTTATAGACCTGCCATCTAGAAGTCCTCACATGGCACAAGGGACCAAAAGGCCAAAAGGGGACAACTCTGTGTCATCTCGTGGTGGACAAGGGGAGGAGCACAACAGGGCAAGATGGTGGTCTCCAGCCTCTCAGGCATCATCCACAGGACCACTGTAGATGTCACCACAGTGGGATTATGGCTCAGCATGGGGATGACGGGGACATTCGGGTGGTGGCTGATGGATATCAGCTCCTAGGTCACATTCCCACGCCGTGTGCTGTGCTCCCTCTCATAGAACTGCATTCTCAGGAATGTGAAGTGAGCCGGACACTCCCTGGCCAGAGGGAGTCAACTCCCTGGCCAGAGGGAGTCAGTGGGCGGGTTGCTCTGGGTGGCAGAGTAGGGCTGCTCCCTCAGTGTGACTGCCTGGGCCTGCCTCTGTGCCCTGAGGGTTGTCTCCAGGGCCGGCCCCTCCCCACCCCCCTTGCCAGGAGCACTGCCTCCGGAGGACACAGCCCTGCATTTGTGTGGGAGCAGGGGCACAAAACAGCTGTGGCTGAGAACCACTGGGGTCAGGGAAGAGCTGCAAGGGCCAGGTGGGATAATCCACGCATCCAGTCGGTCACACCCAGATCTTCCAAGTCCCTGAAATGGTTTCCTCACCAAGGAAACCACCAAGAAAGATCCAGTACTGTTTCCATCCACTTTTGTCCAAAATAATTTCTTCAAAACCAACAGGAAGACAGAAGCCAGACACACCAGCGTGTCGGGGTCACCTCCTGGCGCCGTCATGTCCTGCACCACCAGGCGCCTCCAGCCCACCTTCCAATCACGGCTGCTGGACGAGGCGCTCTTCCCACTGGGACTGCTGTGCCTGGGGGTCCAGGGCCTGGCGGAGTCCTGAGGCTGCAGAGAAGCCCTGGGCTTTGTAAGCTGTGCCCTGCTGTATATCCCCGTAGGGTGATCAGGATTACCACACCAAGGATCATCCCTGGGTTGTTTGGCTCTGTCTCCTGTCCCTTCCCTGTCTCTTCTGGTTAATTCAGATTTCCCAAAGGGAGAGGGTGAGGGTATTGAAGGGGCTTAAAATTGGAGACGTCAGCAGGCTGACTTGATTTGTAAGAGGAGGAGCCAGGGTAGATGGACAGGTGGATGGGTAGATGGACAGGTGGATGGATAATGAATGGATTGAGAGATGGAAGGATCAACGGTTAGATAGGTGGTGGATAGATGTGTGACCATTTCTGTCTTTGGACCTCTTTCACCTCTTGGTTCTCAGTCCTGAGCCTCACCTAGTCCATTTGTTGGAAAGGAACGTGCCTCACTGTGGTGCTTACCGGGAAAGAAGTACCATACCCGCCTGCTGCCTGGGCAGACCTTTGACAGTCTTGACACCCTTTTATAACAAAGCACAAGTCAGTTACGCAAATGTGCATGTTAAGTGATAGGAGATTTGGGCCTTGGCTGTGATTTGGGTTCCACAGGTCAGGCTGAAGGCCAAGTGAGTCACTTCCGCTGAAGTGTCTCTCTCCAAGCTGAAACCAAGATGTCACCGAACCTTCCTAGAAACCAGGAGAGGTCACAGCCAAGGGTCCTAAATGGCCATTTGCAGCTGACACGATGAGGTTCCCTCTGCTTTAATCCTTGCACGCTTTAATCTTTCAATCTTTACAAAAAGCCACCTGATGTTCTCCAGTCCTGGGTCGTTTGGCTCAGTCTTCCTGTCCCTGCAGGGCTGGTGACGAAAGCACAAAGTTGGCTCTGTGCTCGTTTCTGCCTTTCTCAGCGCTGGCTGTGAAACCAACCTCCTCTCAGCCTAACAGAACACTGTCTGATGGAGGCGGTGCTGCCTGATTGTGAAACTGAGCGACAAAGCCCTGGAGACCTTCAGGTGGCTGAGATTTTGTGCTCTGACACCTTTACCTGGCAGTTCTTGGATCGCTCTGGCGTCAGAGAGCTGCCCGTGCCCCCCAGAGCCCACACACCCCTGATGCCCACAGGCAAGTCAGTCCTCCTGGGAAACAGCTGTGGCTACTGTTGGCTCTTCCTAAGGGAATTGTGCCAAGATCCATGTGACGATGTCCCAGGACAGAGGCCATCCGTGACGGTAATGGAGTGATGGCTGATTTCTCTGGTCTGGCTGCCAGCCTTGGGGCCTTCCGGTCTTATTTTGCCAGTTGGATCTGCCCTCGGCGAGATCAGCGCCCAGTCAGGGCTGCTCAGGCGAACCCTGCTGTCCCCAGGAGGGGCAGGAGGACTGTCCAGCAGCTGGAGGACAAAACTTGGCATCGCCTGCTCCTTTCCAGGAAAGTGAGGCCTTCAGGAAGGGCAGCAAGGTCCCGGCTGGTGCACCCGACAGCACAAGCCAGCCATGGCCAGCCAACCCTCCCACCGGGGACCAGCCACCCGGGGGAGTGGCCAGTTGGCTCAGGTTTGCCTGGTTCCTCCCAGTTTCAATGTTCAACTATTTCGGGGAAAACCCCTCAGTCTTGGGAAAACGGACAGCCCTGTGTCTAGGATTCAAAGGCGGGGCTCTCCTGGGCTGCGGGGCAGGGGTGTGGGCTGATCCCGATCCCAGGGCGTCACCCGGGAGGGATCTCCGACAGCTGGGAGTGTTGGGAGCTGTGGGGCCCAGGGGGCACCTGGGCCAACAGTCCCTCAAGGGACTGAGCACCACAGGGGGGTGTCCTCTTTAGGCCACTGTGCTCTGGACCCAGCACCCCTGTCCCCACAGCTGCCAGCCCTGTGCCTCCAATTCAGTGTGAGGTTGGGCTACCTGAGCCGGGATGAGCAGTCTCCTCCCCACAAAGCTCCAGAAGACCGTAGCAGGAGCCCTCGTGGCAAGAAACAGAGGCAGCCAGGTCTGGGCTGGGGCACCAAGGGCAGGGCTTAGTCTCATTTATTTTATTTTGTATTATGATGCATAGCAAGATAAATGCAAGTTCAAGTTCATGGCCACCATAAGACAGCGAGCTTCACCCACTGGATCTCCTGCCACCCAAGACAACCAGCACTGAAGCTTGTGTC